CCCATCACGGTCGTTTCGAAACCTCGCTACTTAGACCATCATCTCGATTTTAAATCCTCTCGCAGTTCCTTTTTGCATTGATGTTTCGTGAATCCACACGAATACCCATTCCACAGGGAAAGTGTAAAGTTTAGTAATGTCTACTAGATACGATGGAAAATGACATTTTGTTACTAAAGTTCTTAACATTACGTACATGCAAATTCAAAATATATATACAGTTTTAACATTGTAGTACTCTAATATAAGTTTGTTAAAAAATTCATAATATGTGAACCAAAAAGTAGCGTAAGGGTTGACTTAAAGGAATGATTAAAGTCCTTAATATGCCACTTTTTGCACTTTTCTGCCGAGTACCTACTACTCCTTTCACCGCTGACATTAAAAAAATAATATTCCGCCTGTAATATAAGAAAATAATTCAGAATTGTGCCTACCAAAAAAAACCCAAGGATGCAAGAAATTGCGACTTCGTTACCAACCAAACGAATCTTCTCCACAAAATATCACTTCAGATGAAGTTCCACTATCGCTACTTGACAGGGTACACGCGCTGACTTATTAAATCAGGTCCCTTTTTTCCACAGCCGTTCGAACGTCGACGGGGCGTGGGGGGAGAGGTGGGGATGAGATGAAGTCGTTACAAAAACATCCCCCGAAACGACTGTCTCTTTGATTCACCGTTTCCTGCGTGCTCGACGTCCGATTTCGTTGTATTTTCGTCCGTTCCTCCGCGTTTCGTCTCCCCTCCAGCGCGACGTTCACTTCCCCCTCACCCCCGGATATCCACGGGGGCCCTGTCTTACTTTCTTACGTTCTTACGGCGTTTTTTTTTCCCCGTTGTTTTTTCCACCCCCCACTCCTTCTTGGGCTGTTCTTCGTTCCTCTCGAACCGTACGTCCACGCGCCCAAGAAAAACATTCTATGTGTGTGTGTCCTCCGCGTAATGTAAAGCCGGGTACACAGTCGAGCGAGCACGCGGCGACGCGTCACGAGCACGTATTTCATCGTGCCCGATGCATTCGGGGGGATTTGCCGGAGCCACCATCACGATCGTGTAACACGCGTTGCCCTTTGCGCACGGCTGTCTGTTTCTCTCTGTCGAGCGTTACGTATAGAAAGGAGACGGGGCAACGAGGAAAATTTTGTTTCTGGTATATAGGACCTCGTTTGTTTCGCGGATTCTTCGAATGCTGTCACTTATCGCGAAAGTAATAATATTCGCGATGTGATTGCTGTATATACCCTCGGGAGCATTTATATTTATCTTTGGACTGTCTTTTCTTCTTGTTTCTCGGGGATTACTTTTTTCCACGACGTCTTTAGCGTCTGGGGTGCTGGCCGTTTTATTGTAGCTCTGTCTGGGCCGGTCGAAATTTATGCGGATTATACGGATCCGTGTTTATATGGGATGATCACTGGTAGAGTTCGTAAGGGGATGATTCTGTAGGAGGGGAATTATATTTTTGTAATATTGGGAGAACGGAAATAGGGTAGGAAATTTCCTTAGAAAACTGCTTTGTATATTCTTCAGTGTTCTAAAGTAGTATCAGAAAGGTGGGGCTCAGTGAGGGGTAGTTTCATCCCTTAAGGGAATTTTAATAAAGTAGAAACACATATGTGTCTTACTTCGTTAATATCGACAGTAATAAATATAAAAGTTTAATCAGAATACTGAACCGAGGATTTTTACTTCACATTTTTACGTATGCACTTATACCAACGGTCTATGAGCCGTTTTAGGTTTCGTTGTGTAGGATGTTACGGTGTTCTTTTTTAATAATTTAAAAACCACCCCTTATTGTTGCATAAATTTTGTAAAATATAACTACTATAATTATCACAGAAGAAGCATTCAATATGGATGCAAAACAACGGCAGATTAAAAAGTGATTATTTCCAAATATCTATTTGCAACGACTAAAGAATGCCTAAAGGCGTTGTTCTGTAAAAAAGAATTATAGTTGCATAAGCGTTCATAATCGAGTAATTCCCCACTTCATTACAAACCGTACCTACTGCGTCTGAAACCAGCGATAAATCAGCATTATGATAGATTCCGATTTAGGTTGCCCGATCGGCGCGGTAGAAAGTGGATTTCACGGGATTTTCCTTTTCGGTTCTTCGGTTCGCACCTTGCGAGCGCTCTGAGCGCGGAGTTTCGCAATTCTGGACGAAGCAGAAATATGCGCAGGGGAAGTTGACACAGTAACACGTTCGGGGGAACTGACACTGAGCCATTTCTTGCGCGAGGCCCGCCAACACGGAGACGACGTAGCAAAATTCACCGACGTCCTCACTGCTTCAACCGCCCGCCCAGGTGTCTGTCTGTGTGTGTGTGTGTGTACCCGCCCTAAGGTGCACGTGCGTTTCTACGCGCAGATTTATGCACCGTGGCAGAGGTGAGAGTACGTAGGTTTAACGAGTGCTACTATGACCCAGTTAACCGGGAAACGTACGTGCGCGTATATCCATTGGTTGACGGGCTGAACTTACCCTGAGAATTCTCTATCCCCGAGTTACAGCGTGAGAATTCGTAGAATTAGAGAATTTTGCGAAAAATTAAGACGACGAGATTTATTGTTCGGGACACGAATCCAGAAAATTTCTGGGTTGATAAGTTGGTACATAGTTGCTTTTTATGTGAAATTTTTGATCTCATTGAGTAGAACAAACTTACGTAGTAACATTACTGAAGTTTATTTCTGTTTCATGTTTTGACTTACGAGGGAACTTGGGTACCGTGAACGTTCCGATTTTGTTTAAACTCCGTAGGTTTTAGAAAACCTCACTAGAAGCATCGGGTAATATTTTGTTTTTGCTGATATTCGGTTCTTTTGGGTGAAAATACTGTACAATTTCTGCATAAGATTCAATTCTCGATATATTAAAAAACTACAAGAGTTCTCTAACTCGTTCGTTCAAGGTTTAAACGCCATCCCCTTCCGCGATCGGTGAAAATCGAATTCTTCGCAAGCGTTGGATGCATCCGCGGCGGATCTAACGCAGCCTTGCAGCTGAAAAGTAAAAAACGACGGAGCGAAAAAGAGGTCCAGCAGAAAAATAAATCCCCGGGTGAGTGGAGTGGCTCTCCTCGCGCCTTTATCTCTCGTCATCACTTTCTCCTCGGGGCGGGTGATTTACGCTGGTCTTGTCTTCCTTAATTAGGTTAAGGCTCTCGGTCCTCCTTTGCATCGGCCGAAAGAATGAAAAGAGAAAAAAGAAGAAACGAAAATGGAGGCTTCGCTTCCGATCCGACCGCGAAATTCACTCCGGACACCCTTGTTAAACATTAATCGAGGCGCTGTTGGTATTGTACCACGACGCCGACGATTTATTCCCTCGTGTGCGTTGTTTCTGAGAGGGAATCGCATCTTTTCTTTTTTTTTTTATTTTCTCTCTCGACGAAATTTATCACATATTTACGTCACTTGTTCCTCACAATGTTGTCGCAACGCGGTTCGTTTCCTCTATCCCCGGGGTGGGCTGGTTGTTTACGGGGTACAGGATGATGCAAAAATCGTGTACCGAGATTCCACGTTGACAAAAAGGAGAAGAAATTGTACGGTGGAGATGGTGTTAAACACGGGTCTGTTTAAGTTATACAGCATGTTTCATTTATCTTGACCGGTTACGAAGTATTCAGAGAATGGAAATTATGTATCGACGGTCGTACATAAGGTGTTCGATTTATCTTGGACACAGAGATAAGGGTACAGGAGGAATGTAGTTATTAATATTAATATGTTGGGCGTTCTTGTATACTTTAATCGCTTTATAAGAAGGCTATGCATTTAATTTTATCGGCTTACAAAGAAGTTACTGATACTAACATTAGTATTCAAATTATTAATTATTTAAGAACAATTATTTAATCTAAAATACCGCTGCTTTTTACTATGCAGTATTCGAATAAAATTCTGCCCCAACCTCTGTTCAGGATAGTTCAGTGTTTCGTCGCCTTGTCGTCCAATACACCAGCATCCTTCGAGTCTCTAAGGATTCCCGTGACTCTACATTGTCGTAATACGTTCGTAAATCCCGAAGCGTTTCTATCTCAACGTAGAATTGTATTTCTCACAGCCGTGTCGACGGTGGCCGATAAAAAATATACCTACCAGGAGGAGGATTGGCATCGTTTTAAGTGGTAAACCGCCGCCTTCTACGTCGAGGTTGGTCGGCCATTGCGTAGTTGCAGCCGTCGAAGGCCGTTCTAGGTCGTTCGGTAGTTGCCATTAGGCAATGCTTCTCGCACTGGTTACCTTACGCAGTTAATTCGACGCGACTTCTGTCCTTCGCCGGGATTGAGAACGCCGCCGGTTCACTCGAATCGTTCCAAAACCTCTATTGTACCGCTTAGAAATCGATCGTCTTTGGATCATCTATTCATAACATGGGTTACAAAATTAAAAAAATTTCAAATATATATACATGGTGACCCATTTGAAGTTACATACGCAATTATCGTCTAACTAATCTTGGAAACGCAAAAAGTGACCTTGAATGACCTTGGAACACCAACATATTATGAGTCGATGAATTGAAACCTGAATAAAAACGTGTGGTTCTATTAAAAACAAAAAAACAAAGATCACCTCGAAATTTCGAAGGGATGTACACCTACATAAGATTCGTGACCACCAAGATGTCCCCCTTGGAACCAAGTAAACTTTCCTTGAAACATCTTTTTCCCCAACAAATAGTTTCGGAAATAATTACGTGTATCACTCTGACTCACCCTGTATAATATCTTCAGCTCTTTTATTCTAATATTCAAAAATCTCGAAATCACTCCCGACTTCTAAACTGAGTATAATTTTAATATTGACCGACCACTCCAAATTTAACATTCCTACATCCCCCGACACCTTACTTCCAGATTGACACATATATCCCACGATTTCTTTTCCGATTACCGAGCCCATTGTGGGCGTTAAACACCGAAACACCATAAAACATTTTCAGCCTCACGTTGGGAATCTACGTGGTGTATGTTACAGGAGAAACCTTCGCGGCGCCGTAAAAATCCAAGCCAGAGGGATTGTTTTCGGGTGTGTGCACACTACACGCGCAGCCGCCAGGCGGACGTTCACGAGGAAAACCAGGGGAATTTATTAACTTGTAAGGTACGTTCTTGCACCATGGAACAGCCGGCCGGAACTCAATAAAATGTGCTTTCGTTACTTTCTCGGGGTCCCTCCCCCCCCCCGTTCGTGTTCCCCCCCTTCACGGCCGTTCTTCACGCTCGTTTATTTGTTACCCGCGCGTATAAAACTCTTCCAGGCGTGCTCCACCCGAGAGCGTGCTCTCTTCTGCGCCTTTTCATTTAAACGGGCCCGACGCTCGTAAGAAATAATACTGGAAAAAGCCCGTCTGCAACGCTTCGGTTACGAGATACACCACCCCTTTTTTAACGATCGCGCACTTAACCGACGCCGTGCGCGCGCGAAATTTGCGATCGCGACCGACGGCGACCGTGTCGTTATAAATACCAAACCTTTAACAGCGGTCGCAACGACAGGAAGCCAGTGATCCGTTTCGCGATGAAGCTTTGAAGTTTTCGTAAAGTACCGTCGTAAATTTCACGATGATAGCCGCGTGAACCCTTGGAGGACCGCTCGTTTTTACTGCATACCCGGTGGTAATCGATCCGAACGTTCATCGGAATAGACAGGGCACTTTGCGACTTAAACTGATCGGTTATGCGAGAATTGGGAAATTTTTTGCGATCGTGAACTCGTATACCTATGGGTTTAATGAAACGTTTGCTGTGGACTGAGGATCTTTGTGTGTGTAGGATATTCTAGTGTTTGTTGTAAATATGTTTGTTAATTGCAAAACAAAAATTAAGGTGAAAGTTTAATATGTGGTTGACATCGTTCGTGTACTGAAAACGAAGAATGGTTTAATTTAGAGCCGCTCCTGTAATAGAGAGCGTCATAAGAGTATGTGAAGCTGAAATTGATAGTCGATGAAACTTGAATGCAGTAGACTCGCGATAATTGCCCTTATCTGGGGCTCTAGAGGCGGACAATTCTAAGAAACATGATTATCGAGAATGCAGTAAAGTAATGGGTATGAGCATGGGGAATTTCAAACGGGTACTTACTCAGCAGGCAGTTATCGCGAGTCTACTGTACTCCTGAAGAAATAAGTAGAGTTTTCAAACAGTTTGGAATGTGTCCAAAATTGGATGGAATATAAATGCATAAAATTAACACAAATTGCCATTAATCAGGCAGCTCACTTGACGTCGAATGAATTGATATTTCAGCTTCCACAAGAAAAAACCCATTCCAGGCGCTAACGTCTGTCATTGAGAATTCTTACAATTTTCACAGCAGTGTTACCCCAATACTATCTCAATAAAGCGAAAGGTCCATGAAAAAACTTCATCCTTCACGCAATATCTCAAAGACCGTCATTCCTCTACTTGATGAACACGACGAGCCACGTTCGGTTCGGACGAATTACACCGAAAAGCTTTCGTCGCACGAAAGCCCCAGCGTCCCTCTTTCGACCCAGTTACACAACTCCATTTAACAGCAGAGTGGCGCGTCGATGTTTTCGAATAGCACTTCTCCCTCTGGCCTAGACAGACCGTAATGGCGTCTGCGTTTCGCGATTCCGTAGGTGAAACGCTCGCCGTTGGCTCGGTCTATGGTGAAACTATAAAGGCCATCTGTTTCGCTTTTAGAGTCTCCTTTATGCCGCCGGGTGACGTCACCCAGCGAGCGGCAGATAAACGGAGAGATGAACGCCTACTCAACGGTCGCTATCGCGCGCCACCTTGTTGCCCCACCTCTCCCCTACCTGACCGCGCTAGTCGTCGTAGTCTTCCCCAGGCGGACTATGCGTTCTCCACCTTGCTTTCTAAGCGTCAGATTCCCCCCTCCCCCCTCTGCGACTGACTGACGCGGTATTATACGAGCGGACCGTAACGACCGTTCGTCTAATCGTCGCGAACCAGGTTTCGAGGAAGGTTTCACGCGGTTGGAGACGGTTTTAGCACGAACAACACAGCTGGACTGTTATTGTCATTCGTAAATCAACGGGAACGCACCAGCTTCGACGGGCTATGGGCTCGCGAAACGGTCCCGTGACCGATGACTGTGTCTCCTTTCATTTCTGTTGTTCAGGTGAATTTTGAGGGAGCTCGAGACTATTTACTTGTCGCTGGTACGATTCCTGCCGCGATTCTACTCATTTATATCGTCTATTTGGGGAAAGATATCGTTATCCGCTTCGATGAACGTGGGTTCCCGAATCCTTTATAGTTATTCGTCTTTCCATTTTGGATTGTAAGATTTTTATCTATAGGATATATCAGTTACACGATTTTTCAAACGTATCAGTGTATACAATTGCTGTTTGAAAACAACTGAGAAATGCTGGAAATTAGGTATTAGTAGATGTACAGATCAGATCAATACAAATTCTATAGTCCAAACGTGTCCCGATGATCGTTTATACGGAACAGATCACTATGCCCGAGAGATCCATACCAGAAACCATCCTAACGTTTCGTTGCAACCGTTGCATAGGACACTCCGTACATCCAATGTGCCGTACAGAAACTTCCGATTCACCAGCGACAAACCGAATTACCTCAAGAAAGAAGGTTTCATTGCGTCAGGAAGAAAACGGTCCGATCGTTATGGAGGGCAACCCGACGATTATTCGTCGGACAATCGAGAGCGCCACGTCGCGGCCTACCGTCGAGTCAGCCCGATTCTCCGTCCGTTGGCGTTCAGCCAGAGGCGTCCCGACGCTTCCCGAGAGGGTGGACCGAGTCCGGCCGAAGACGGCGTCCCGGCGTCGAGCGTCCGTCAGTGCGTGTGCGACATGGCTGCGAGGCGCTACGTCGACATAGACGCCCTCCACCACGCGATGTGAGAACACACCCGCCAGGCGTCCTCGAACGAGATCGCTCAATCGAGATCCTCCCCCCGACGACAAGTTGCATCCCCCCTGGCGTACACTGCATTCGCCTGTGTCACTGTGGCTAGCGTGTACCAACCCCGTCGCGGTGCCGTGGCCAAAGTAACCGCGATTCGGATCAACGACCCTCGACGGTGGCACGTTTCGAGCGAAATCCGCGGAACGGTGCGCCCAGTAGGTCCTGATAGAACAATACTCGGCACGTTTGATCGGTTAAAGGGTTGTGACGCGTGGATGATCCTCGAAGGTGACTGGTGAAAGAATTGAGGATCGAGGCGCTGGGAGACTAAACAATGTTGATACGTGACTTATTCCACTGATTCTGTTTTATTGCTGGACATTACTGAGCACGTTTGGTTGGTTAAAAGATTGTGACGTGTGGAGGATCCTCGAAGGTGACTCGTCTGGTGAAAGAATTGAGGATCGAGGCGCTGGGAGACTAAACAATATTGATACGTGACTGATATTACTGATTCCGTTTGATTGCTGGGACCTTGAATAAATCATCGACCGATTAGAATTACGTTTATGATTTCGAGACAGTGGAGAGCTTCCGGGTTCCATTTATGGGGGACCACTGACTTCGCTTTGTGAGCACAGTTATCGGGTGAATTCAGTTTGGAGGGGTTATTGGGTGATTGGTGAAGGATATTGAAGAAGAGAGTGGGTACTTTGGAGAGAATATTGAAGAAAGAAAGAAGTGGATTCGCTCGATCGAGTCTGATGAAACGATCGTACAAGATTTCGATGATCTTGAACCCCATGGAGGAGGAAGAATATTAGTGGACAAAGCTCACAGAGGATCGTCAATGTTTCCAATCGAAAAGTGATTCTTACCTAGTCTTAGAACAGTCGTTGAAAGTTCACCGAGGAAAATGTAGAGAACGAGGAGACGGACGAGCCAAGCAAGATGGCGAGTTAAAACGGACAGGCGGATTTGTTCCGAGGAAACGAGGCTGATTGTATCATTCCCCGCAGCGAGAGACGGTTGCATTCCCTTTAGAAAAGCCTTGTCGAGACCTGGAAGACTCGCCAGCGTCTCGACGTTGTACATAAATGCTCATCGGACAACGGACTACAAGAGTCCTCTTATTTTATGAACTTCCATAGGTCAAGGACTTGCACTTCGGTGACCTAGTGACCAAGTGAACTCCAGATGTACACTTGGAAATAGCAACAGTCCCAGAATAATTTCTGGACCGCGTGAAATCGTCATTTCGAGTGTCAAGGAGAAGGAACTTTTTTTTTTAACCTGGTCTGAGTAATCGAACAACATGTCTGCCCGGTGGTAAACACACATCGGTCCCAGGTGTCTCCCTCACCCACCGAGTATCGGTTGATCGACGTTATCCACGATTCACGGGGATCCTCGCGGCAATGATCGAGCAGGGCAGCGCGTGTAATCCGCATGGTCGCGTCAGGATCGTTTCGGCTGTCGTAGCTTGACAACCGACTGGACAAGTTATGTCGGGCCAGTGACGCGGGACAGAACTTTGGAGAGAGGCCGATGTGTCTGTCGACGAAACGGTGGCTTCTACTCCGGCCGCGTGAACAAGAAGCAGAAGAAGAAGAAGAAGGGGAGGAGGAAGAGGAAGAAGGAGACTGTTCTTGAAGGGGACTCCATCTGATTCTCTCTTGTTCTCTTTCTCTCTTTCTCTCTCTCTCTCTCTCTCTCTCTCTCTCTCTCTCTCTCTCACTCGATCTTCTCGTTGGTTGCACGCGTGCAGCTACCCCCTGGTGGAGTGCACGTGCGTGGCTACGTGCGTGCGTGACCCGTGCCTCTGTGTGGTTTAGTGTTGTACAGTGCAGGAACCGACGATGGAATATCGGTGAGGTCACGAGGTCACCGCAGAATGCCTGAGCCGAGGGCGAAGCGTTGTAAACACTGTGACGGTACGACACCACCAGCATCACACCACTGCTTGGATCCTCGAGACACGGCCTGCGGTTTTCTTCGTGTCTGCGAATGATCGACCCGGTGTTTTTTAACCCCTTCTAACCACGTTTCAATAAAGCTCTCGTGTGGCCCTTTTCACTCTTACGCTTTAACTTTATTAACCCAACCACTACCCTTCAGCGACGAAGGTTGTTCGGTTTGACGTCGCTGATGGTTCGAGTAACTCACAGAATGGGAGTTAAGAGATGTTTGTTTGTTTTTTGCTTTTGTTGCTTTATTGAGTTTATC